GAAAAGTTGCGCTCCTTGGTTATATGTTAGGGAAAATCTTGCAAAGTAAAATCCGTAAAATGTCTTAATTTAGGGAAAGAGGGAAATCTTAGTAGTTGCTATTGGTTTATGAGATAGATCGAACGTTTCCCACACAAGAGCAAAGGGAAAAATGTCCTGCTCTTAATTAAATGCATAGTTGAGCCAAAAATAGATTTAAGAACAGGATGTGGCTTTTAAAAGTGTGAGAAAGTATTTCAAATAGAATAATTAATTAGGAATAAAGTAGGAGTTGTTTTATAGCAAAGAAACTAACATAGAAAGATTAATTGAAGCTTTTTATGTTATATATATATATATATATATATATGTATACAGTGGTGAGACCAGTTCTACGTTTTCCGTCACCGGACTAGCTCTAAAAAACGCATGAAGATTGATAACGTAAAATTGGGGTAAAAAAAATAAAAGTATATTTTTGAAAAGTTGTCTCCTTACTCTCCATGTAGCAAATTTGCCTTATGGCTTACATTTGCAAATGTTTCCATTTTTTTGTAATTTTTACTTTCAAACTCTTGCTCATTTTTGCTCATCTTCATCGTTTTCAGGTCCCGCAGTGGACTGATCGTTAAGACACGGTTCCCATCAGATCACCGAAGTCAAGCATCACTGGCTGCGGTCAGTGTGCGGGTGGGTGACCACTTGTATCAGTCTGCGTAGGGACCGAGGGTGTGCGGTATTGGTCCTCGTTAATCTGTGCTACCGTGAAGTGCTCGACTTCGCGTGCAGGTCGTCGGGCTACCGAAGCGGGGGTGCCATCCCCTCTGCAGAGGATCAAAATTGTGATGGCATGTCTTCGGATCATCCTCAGGGATGTTTCCCAGACCGTCGCCAATAGCCCATTGTGCTGCTCCAGTGCGACATAAATGAACAACAACAACAACAAATCATCGTTTTCAGCACTATTATCGGTAGCAGACAATGAAGGAGTTGAAAAGTAAAGGGATACGCCATCTGCTTTTGGAGATCTACAGACCTGCAATTTTATTAAGAAGGATCAATGTTCCCGTTGGATACCGAAAAGCAAATAACGCTTTATTAAATCTATTTGCAATGCACTTAACTCGACACTGTCTGAAGCAGTGGAAATCAAATTCCGAGCTTCCAGAACGGTTGTTTTTGTTTCAGAAGTATCACGCAGGTCACCAAAATCGAGAGAAAGAAGTGATTATCAAACCAGTAATTTATTGTAACGTTCTTTAAATGATCCCCAAGATAAAATGGTTAAAGCTTGCTGAGAAAAATTTCACTCCCAAATTTTACAATTTAATCTCCCATACCTTCCTTTTACCACACTTCCAATGCTTTGTCCATTACACGACCCTTTTGATTTTGGCTCGAGTGGGAAGTTCTCTCTCTCAGAGAGAAGGACAATAAGATAAAATAGAAAAGAATGTAAGAAAAGTGACAAAGAGTTAATAACGAGAAGGAAAAAAAATTGTGCGAACTTTGTAGAGAAAAATTTATTTTGATCCGTTAGAAAAACGTATAAAGCAAGATAACGTACGAAACGCACTACTTAAAACTGAGGTTGCATTGATATATATAATGGAGTGAATGAATCAATAAAATGGTGTGAGAATCACTCTAAATTTTTTTGAAACAAAATAGAATAGGACATATTAAGTAATAAATGTCCCGTAAAAAACAGAAATTAAAGTGTAAAGAAAAAACAGAATAAAACATAAAACGAAATCTCTAAAGCCAGTAGCGAATTCAAATGAACTTACATGAACGGGAAAATTTTCAAGAATGATTTAAAATATTTTCGTAATGTGATTGCCAGATTACAAAATATGAAAACAGAAGCGCAAATTGAGGTAAGAGCTAAAATAGAGGTATTTTGTTTTATAGCGTGTTCTTATTGCAATACTGAAGCGCTTTTGATTTGGTAGTTACTATGCCCGAAAATGTATGTGTGCAAGGTAATATTATACTGGATAATTTAAAGAAGCTTATAATTAATAAGGTTGATATTTAATTATACAATTTTAATGATTTTGGAAAATAAACTTTTATTTAAGAAAAAGAGAGAGACAGAGAAGAAAAAAACATGAATTGCCTGTTTTGCACACATTTTTAGCCACGGGTTTGCCCAAAATGGATTTGCACATGGTAAAAATTATATAAATTAAAAAAGAGTTTTTTAGTAAATTCATTTGCAATAATATACAATTAACCCAATACTTTTATATAGAATTTAACTACTTCAGTTGGGTATGCATTATTTTTTTTAATCAAATTTTGAAAGAGTTTGTCTTTTTGTTTCTTGGATAAATAAACATTGCTACATATTCTTTTAATTCTATTCATTTGATTAAAAATGGTATTTATGTAGATGTTTTTAGAA